CTTCTGTGCACACATACTAGAAATATTGTTTAAGCTGGCTTGCTCGAACTCTGGAGCAGTAACGAAAGTGCAAGGTTTTTCGAATCTGCATTGCCTTGGGTCTTAGCTGCCAGGAAGTACTGCCGAAGCTCCTGAAGTGTTTTTATTAGCTCTACAAACTTCCCAGCTGTGCGATTACAAGTCACAGGATTGTCCCTGCAAATGATGGGACGTGCCAGTGCCGCTGGGTTTGGCGTGCAGCCAGCCCGTTCTCCACCTGTTGAATCGAGTAAGCGACAATGATAGGCGAAATATGACCAATTTGAATGCTATGATACAGCCTTGTCGCTTGCCAGAAAACAGAAGAAAAAAATGGGCTGCGCCAAACTCATCTCCATTGGCACTCCCCATCATTCGCAGCGAAAAAGACTGCACAAAGCTCCTCCACCACCGAACCTTAGACACCACCAAACAAACCTGTGGAGGTGTGAGTGCACCAAGGCGCTGTCCTGCGTAGTAGAACGAGCGTTTGACCATAACGAAAATATTGCGTCAACTGATACCTTAGTTTTCTCATTTTTCCAGCCATCCCTTTCTTCTGTCACTGCCCTATTCGGACAAGCTAATTCCGCGGGCGGACAAAGGGATCTGCACACAATCAAGTGTTTCATATATAAGGTTTCATATATAAGTGTTTCATATATACATAATAATAAAGGCACGCCCGCGGTCAAAATAGTCAGTTGTGCCCTCGTGTACTCACGACAACACGACGAACAACAGAGAAGTGAAGAAAAAAAGCAGGAAAAAAACCGCCCGAAAGGCTTCGTATAGAACCACATGCTAAACCGCGCTTGCACGTGCAGAAAGCGCAGAGAAAGGCGTTGTTGGACGAGTTCTCACTTGTTGGTCTTTCTCTTATAACCTCACCCTCACCATCCGAAAAAGACAGAGTTAAAAGTGGAGCAACCTCAAACCTGACTACGACTACTTGAAAAGTTGGGAATTGCCGTGGCCATGGGACGAGACCGTGACCTTGTCGCGATCAGGTAGCGCTATCTTCACGTATATTTGAGCTGTCAAAGTAATACATCTTTAGTGCTTGCAGGCAGGACTATCTTATTTAAAGAGGGTGTCTGTACACGAATCAATGCAAAGCGTACCTTCAAGTGTCTTCAAAGAATTCATGTCAACATTACTGATACGAGAACTACTGAAACATATTCAAAGTATAGCTAACCAAAGGAGCATTCAAATGTGTCTCGCGGAATGGAATATATTGAGCGAACTCGTGTCCATCTGACGGGTCAACAAATACCACAACAGCCTACAAGCTCTCTGGTTATAGGATGCTCGCAGACCATGCTCACTTTCACAGCCTTAAAAGGAAAACGATGAATTGCAGTAGATAAATGGCTAAACTGTGCTAGACACTTACCTTGTATCCTCTTTGAAAACCATCTGTTTCTCGCATGACGTATTTGAAACCAGCATCGGGGTCAGTGTTGCCCTTAGAAATCGTAATATCAGTCTTTCTTACAAGCATTAGACCAATATCACATTGGAAATGCTATAAAAGTTACCTCACATTCATTCGTATCACTGCAATTCTCATCAGCGATATTATCAGGTGAACCTAAAAGAGTAAACGAGCTGGAACCAAGGAGTAATACGGCAAAGGCCCATGTTGGTACACTTGTCAGCCTGACGGCTTTGACTACGTAGATTGCCTTTTATGTTTCGGGATTAGAGAACAAAAATAAATATTAATCATTGAAAATCGCTTTATTGTTTTTCAAAATATTCCCCATTAAGATCTATACACTTTTGCATGCGTTTGAACCAATTGTCGAAGCACTTTTGCCACTCTGATTGAGGTATCTCCAAAACATGCATTCTGAACGCATCAACCGCTTCTTCAGGTGTCGAAAAACGTTGACCTCTCATTTTATTTTTTACGTACGGGAATAAAAAGAAGTCATTCGGTGCCAAGTCAGGACTATATGGCGGATGACTCATCAAATCGATGTTTTGAGTGCTCAAAAATGCAGTTGTTTGAGCCGATGTGTGAGAGCTCGCATTGTCGTGGTGAAGAGTGATCCGTCTTCGGCGGTTGGGATCCAACGCGAACAAATTTTTTTGACAGTCAAATGTTCATGCAATATTGAATATATGCTGGTCCCACTAATGCCTAAGGTTGTCTCAATCTCACGATAGGTCACATGACGATCTTGCAATATTAGTTTGCGCACAGCATCAATGGTTTCCGGAACAACAACTGATTTTGGACGACCTCCACGAAATTCGTCTTGGAGTGAACTACGACCTCGGTTGAATTCACCATACCATCGATAAACACTGGTCCTTGATGGAGCTTCATCGCCAAAAATTGAATTAAGTTGTAAAAGTTGTAAAAAATAATCGCACGAAAATGTTCACGATTTAATTCCATTTTTTGGCCGACCTAAATCGTTTAAGTTAGTGTAAACAACACAAATAGCGCTCATATGTCAAAACGTTCTGAGTACGTATAACCTCAAAAATGTCAAACTTTACGATAGAGCTGTCAGTTGCCAGATTGCAACACTAGGGTTGCCCAATCCCGAAATATAAAAG